CCTGCCTCTCACCTATGCCAGGACCAGGGAGCTTGTGTCTGGAGTTGATTCTGCAACCTCTGCTAAGCAAAGGAGCACTTATATTTTAAACAGAGCCTCTTAAATCTTTAGAAAGGATTCCCTGTGTCATGGTTTTTAACTGTCTTCGGGTATGTTTTGCAACTTGTGCAACTCGTCTCATTTTGTAAAGCCAGGCAAAAAAAGGACTGCTTTCCCTGCAAGCAATCCTCAGCATATTGGAGGATTGCTCCCCAGCTTTTTCAGCCGCTCTTCTTCCAGCTCAACTTGCATACCTCCCCTCTGTTCCACTCCATTGTATAAGCACGAAACTCAATTCTGCTGGAAATTAATGTCACCAAGAGCTGTCTCCCATAGTTGTGCAGTTACCTCCTGCACTGTAGACACTCATCTAGCATTTTTAGTCACAGTTGTATTTACTACTACAGGGTAATGTGTGTTTACTCTGTGTCGACACTATGTTTACTTTGGAAGGATAATGCCATGGGGTACAGAACTCAAGGGGGTGGTTTTTATCTCTCAGCACTTTACATGTTCCCCTGGGCCGCTTTCCTCTGGCTTGCATGGTTTCCTGAGGAGTTGGATGTGATTCTTACCTTTACTCCTTATAGGTAAGGTGATTTTTCCCTCTGGCTGCATTCAGCATTTTTTTTCTTTTTCTGTGGTTTTCTGTAGTTTAAAAATGATATGACAAAGTATAGGGATTCTGATATTTATCCTGTCTGATGTTCTCTGATCTCCCCGGATCTGTGGTTTGGTGTCTGACATTAATTTGGGGAAATCCTCCATCATTATTGTTTCATGTATTTCTTCTTCTCCTTCTGTTCTTCCCATTATGGGCATGTTACATCTTTATAGTTGCCCCACAGGCTCTGGATAGTCTCTTCTGGTTTTTGGTTTTGGGGTGTTTTTTTCTGTCTTTCTGTTTACTTTTCAGTTTGGAGAGTTTCTATTGACATACCTTCAACTTCAGAGATTCTTTCCTCAGCTGTGTCCCGTCTACTAATAAGCCCACCAAAGACATTCTTCGTTTGTTTCAGTCTTTTTATCTCTATCCCTTCTCTTTTATCCCTTAGAATTTCCTTCTCTCTGAATAAACATTCCATCTGTCTATACATGCTGTTTAGTCATTAGAACCCTTAGCTTTTTAATCACAGTCGTTTTAAATTTGTAGTCTGATAATTCCAACATCCCTGCTGTATCTGAGTCTGCCTCCGATGCTTGCTCTGTCTCTTCAAACTCTGCATTTTGCTTTATCGGTATGTCTTGTCCTTGTTTCGTAGTTGGAAATGGTGCAGTAGGTGAAAGGGGCTGCTGTCGGCAGGCCTTCGGTGATGCGGTGACAAGGTGTGGGAGGAGAGGAGGCCTGTGGCCCTCTGAGTAGGCGGGCGTTGCAGTGAGGCTGTGCCTCTGGACCGTGAACCGCACATGCATCTCTCGGCTGTCCCCCATCCCCCACTTGTGTGTGGCCAAGATTTGGATATTGGGAGAGGAAAATTTGTGGAGAATTTTTACAGATGTGATCATGTGTTTTTTGAATCTTTAGGACAGTTTTAGAAGTTGAATTAAAACAGCTGGAGACTCTGGCAATTAAGAGGGCGTTGGAGACCCGAGAAGCTCTTTCAGTGGAATTTGGGTTAGAAAGCCGGGCTGCAAGAGATGGAGGGTAGTGCGAGGGTAGGAAGAGGCAGCAGGAGTTTCAGAGGTGTTTGTTTTTAAGTCTCAGAAACTGAAGAAATGGGGCCCAGCAGTAAACCCAGGTTGGGTTCCGGTACAGGTGTTTCGAAGGATTTGTGGATTTTCAGAAAAATGCCCTTTTGCTACTGATTCAAGCTGCTAAATGAAGTTATGCCCAAAGCAAGTTGTTGGCACAATTTCAAGACCATCTCTCCTAGATGGTACTACTTACTTAGTAATAGTATGTAGTGGAAAATAGGAATGAAAGTCTTTGATTACACAGATTTGTTACTCATCAGGTTTGTGATCTAATGTCTTAATCGCAAAATCCTTTTACTGTTCATCTCAGCTCTATTTACACATTACACTCTATCTTTAATCTAGTTCGATCCTCACTGTCCCTCAGATCTCTGATGACTGCATTGTCATTAATTTAGCACACGTGGCTTAATAGTGTAAATCACAGGCAATGATAATTGTTGCAAGTTGTTTAGTATTTCTTGTGGAGAATGCTGCTCATAATATTTAAGATCTACACTAACTAACTTGGCCTAAAAATTGCCATGCCTTAAAAACAAACTGTGGACAGCATGCTTTTCCTAGAAGTACATGGTTTACAGTTGTTTATGTCTGAAAATAAGTAGAGTTGCCATCGATAGTTGTTTTGAAAAGAATATATTCTTCTGGAAGCTATGGGTAGTGGATGAGGGGGAAATTGGTTAAAAACAAAAAAAATGTTCAAAAAAGGAAAACAGTACTCATTCCCTTTTAAGAGCTATTCAGATGAAAAATGGCTCGGCATGAGCTTGATCTGTATGTTTTTCGTGGTTATTAGTAGTAATGAAGATGCATTAACCATATTCTCTTGATAATGCTCCAGCAGTTTCTTAGTACTTTTATCAGCATATAAATTTTACAACTGGCAATGTGGGAATTTGACTAGTACATTTTTGTTTATAAAAAAGGGTAACAACATTACAACTTCTTCATATCTATGAATTATGAATCTTGACTTGCAAAGAAGCAAAACTACACTGCAGTAGAACTTCATATCCTGATAGCTCTTCTTCCCGCAGCCTCATAAGGCACGGGAGTGCCTGCAGGCTGCCGAGCGGAGTGCAGAGCCAGAGGTGAACGCCTGCTTGCTCTGGAATTTATGAGGTCTTTTCATTTTAGCCATTCTTTTTCTCAACAAACATGTATTCTGTGCCTTCTCCGTTGTTAAGCTATAGAGTCTGTGAACTGAGGATGCTCTCCTTCACAAGGAAGCAGCTGAAAACGAAGAAGTGGTGTGTGACCACTATTTATCCTCACATCTGTTAGGAAACGTTACTTTTTAATAATTTTTGAAAGGACTCTAAATAACTCAGTTCTTTAAAGGTTAAACTTGATACAAAAAAGAGGCCTTTGAAAATGATTTTTTTTTCACATTTCATTGAATTATAAATGAATGGATCTTTGTATTATAAAGCTGAATTCCAGGATTTAAATTTGATTTGTCCTGTGTCCAAAGCAATGTAATTCTCCAATACCTAGCCCATAATATTGGCTAGTACCATTAGAGAAAACTTTATGGAAGGAACAAGCATAGTGTTCTTTCCTTTTATTAATAGAACTATGGATCGGTTTGGCTTTACAGCTGTCTGTACCAATGCCAAGGGCACAGCTGTGGTGAGAAAGGTGGGAGAAGCACCAGGGAAGTGCTGCCAGGTAGATCTGAGGAAAGGGCGTGATAGTAAAATGCAAGTTAACTGAAATCAAGTAAATGAATCCCTCCAACTTGATTTTCAGTTTCTCACTTTAATGAAGAAAACTCAAAATGGAAGAAAAGCTTCTATTAATTATTTGGGCAATAAAGCACAAACTTCAGTGTTGTCATGGAATTGGACTCTCTTGTACAACTAAAATAATTGATAATCATAACTGGTCTTCAAGAAGATACTAGCTCTGAAATGGTTCAAGATCATGAATCATTTGGGAAGTCATCACTCCTTTACCAAATGTTTAGTTTGTGTCCTCTATTTGCCAGTTACAGCACAGGTGCTGGCAAGCCCCGGAAGCCTAGGGAGGAAGTGTGTGCAAGGAAGGGAGTGTTTCCAGGGGCAAACTGCTGCTGAAGGGTAGAGTCCATAAGAATGGATCTTTGGCTCTGCAGCACAGAAGTCACTGGAGACTTGGGGGAGTGCATTTAGAGCAACGGCAAGGCCCCGACCAGACCTTACAGAGCCAGAAACTGACAAAGCAGCAGTAGCACGTTAAGACACTTTTTGAAACAAAACTCTTTGTGAGGTAATGGAAATCATACAGTAGAGAAGGGGAAAGTGGTGACACAGGAGAAGGAGACGCAGAGCCCAAATGGAGAGGCTGGCCACAGCTAGGAGCACAGACTTTCTTCCCCTGTAACACTCGAGAAGACCTAGACTGTAGGAAGGTGCAGCTGCCGTGTAACAGATATTTATAAAACACCTATGGGTGCCGGGCAATGGCCAAATAGCTGAGAGACAAAAATCCTTGTCTTCACAAAACTTTTACTGTAGTGGGGATTGGAGGAAGTGGACAAATAATATTCCAATAAGTAAAATATATAGTATGTCAGCTGATGCAAAGTGCTATCAAGAAAAGGGAAGCAGGGAAGCGGGGAAGGAGCCTGTGGAGTGGGGGGCGGGCGGTGGGGGTGAGTGTGCATTGCCGTGCTCGTGGTCTGGGCATTTGGTATGATTTCTCTGAGTTTACTTCATGACTCTCAAGTTTATTCTTCAAAATCACATTAAATGTGACCTCGTACTCACATACAAGACCTAGTGGGAAACCTCCTCTGAGCCTCGTTTCACAGGCTCCCCTTTCTGTGGGTAGCCCAAGCCACACCCAGCCCTGTTCCTCGCCTTTATAATCGTCACCATAAGGGTTTAATCATGCTTTTATTTATGTAAGTGTTTGATTAATATATTTACTCCCTACTAGAGTAGAAGCTCCACGAAGGAAGCTTCTAAAACATGTCTGTTTTAGACAGTTGTATCCTCAGAACCTAGTACACTGTCGGCACATAATAGGCCCTATTTATTGGATAGGTGGATGAAAAGTATAAAGACTATTTTCCATAAGCCACATCTTTAAGGGTCTTCTTGTTTTATTATGCTGTGGTCACTTTTAAGTTTTCACTTCTCACTTGTTGCAGCTGATCTAGTAAACAGCCATGTTCGAAGCAGGTAAGGTATGTTTTTATACCAATGGCATATGTGAAACAGTGTAAAATATAGTTGTCCTCTAATTTAAATCATGTCTCTCCACCTATTTTTTTTTTACAGGACCAGTGCCAAAGGCACTCCCTTGAATATAAATAAAGTCTCTAATAGCCTGATTAATTTTGGAAGGAAATTGATTTCTCCAGCAATGGCCCCAGGCGGTATCAGTGGCCCTGTATCGGGAGGCAGTAGTGGCAGTTCCTCCATGGCTGTGGCTCCCACCAGGACCTTAGCAACCTTAGCAGAGGCTCCCAGACATCATTTGCAGCAGCAGCAACAGCAGCAGCAGCAGCAGCAGCAGCAGCAGCAGAGGCTGCTGAAATCGGAAAGCATGCCAGTGCAACTGAACAAAGGTAAGGAAAAAGTACTAATAAATCTAAAGGAAACCCTCACAGTAGAGCCTGGGATTTCCTCACCTGCCCGTGAGAACCCAACTGCCTAGAAATAGAAATCAAAGCAAAACTTAATTTTAAAAAGATCCATTCTGTTAGATCCTTTTAAGTTAGATTATTAGATACTGTGTCATTCTAAATTATGACCATTTTATGAGATTGTTTGTGAAAGTGTTTTGTTGTTTTTTTTTACATTTATATCCCACGATAATTGCATTTGGGTCCTGGGGATTCCTGTAGAGTATGGCGCGAACTATCACAGCACAGAATGTGGAATCCGTTGACTGTGATCTCTGCTATCTCAGATGCTTTTGACTAGAAGGGAATCTGAAGTGGGAAGTTCCGAATCCCACGGGCTTTACTCGGCACAGCAGTCATCCACGCAGTCGGTCTGGAGGAAGCGTGCCACTAGGCTTGCAGTCACTCTGTCTGGCTGTTTCACCTCTGAGCTCAACAAACTAGAACCTTAAGGGGGGGGTGGGGGAAGCTAAGCACAATGTCAGGCAGCCAAAGTAAGTGTCTGAGTCCATGCACTAACAGTGAGCCGTGGAGTGTGAGCAGAGGAAACCTGGCAGATGAGCCGATCCAAAGCTCTCATTTGGTGTGGGTGAGGGCACTGCTGTGGGTCCTGTTAGTGGCGCTCTGGCTGCTGGGGCTCGGGTAAGCTCCCTTCTATTTCTGGGCCTCCCCTGGGCCTCACCTGCCTCCTGTACTGTATTCCCAAGGGAGCCCTTCAGGTTCTAACTCAGAATCTTTATACTCTGATTTTCCACTTGTTTTCAGGGACAGATGATTAAGTACCCCTATTCATAGCAGATTAGAAAGAGAAAGATTACATTTATTTCTTAGTGGGGGGGACTTTGTTTTCTGTACTGCAGAAAACAGAAATAATAACACAATGGCAGAAAATTTCTAAAAGTCGTTCTGTAGCATTCCAAAGCATCAGATAGCCATTTCATTTCAAGGCAGATACACTGACACGTGCCTCATTCGTGTCTTCGAGGGAGCCCTACGTAAGAGCCCCATTAAATCACCGGTGTTGGCAGTAGCAGTAGTCATGTTGAGTCGGTAGGAAGACCTTAAACCATGTTCCTTATACTCTGTTTAAGGAGTTTGCATCCAAAATAATGAAAAATTTTAAGTTACTGGTATTTAAATTGGTAAACTTAATAAGTTAAATGGGCTTTATCACCCAGTGATTTAAAATAATGAGTATTATTCAATAATGAGTGTGTGTTCTGCCATCAAACACACCATGTTATCTATTGTTGCCTATATGAAGTATAGGGTGCTATATATTAGTATTTAAATTTTATTAGAGTATTCAGTTTACCTACATCAGACTATCTTGTTTAAAATTACATTCTTCTCTTCTTAATGTGGAGCTATCACACATGATTTAAAGAAAAGGAGACTTCAGATCATTAACATGTTGTAAATGTGTCTTAATGCCAGGAGACTTGCCCACTTACAGAATGGAAATGAATGTTATTTTATATATTTCATAATTGTACTGTTTTATTGTTCTAAACAAATATGATTTCAATATTGCTTTGATAACAAGCTGTACTCAGTAGTAATTCTAACTGATGGCAGGCAAATGAGTCAGAGAATCTCTTAATGCTGTAGCTTAAATTTTCTGAGGAACCAAGCCAAATGACTATAGAAATATAAAGTTGTGTCTCTAAGGAAATGTCAAGTATTAATATCACAGTAAGTGAGAAAGGAAGTGCATGAGGATGGAACAATTGATGAAAACCAAGTCCCCAGTTAGAAGAAGACAACAGAGCACTTAAGCAAAGTATTTGGAACATGAGGATTATCACTGGGGCATTTCGTACCCCATCCCCGTGCTGGAGGAAGGCAGCCTCGTCTGGCAACTCTTCTGTCTCTTTATTCCTGGTTTGTTCTTCTCATGCCAATCTTCAAAAAGCTTGTCTACCTTCATATTGAAGATAAATAGTCCTGCTAATGCCCCTCCCTGCATAAAGTTTCAAATAAAACAGAGGAAAAGGCAAAGAGCAGTGTATGCACGTAAAAGCTAGTGTAGGTTGATGCCATTCATCCACTCACGGTGAACTGTAAGCAGAACCCTAAAGCTTTCTGACCCTTTGTTTCCTCACCCTAAGTAATAGGTTTGGGCTGGTCCCTGAGCGCGTTTCCAGCTCCAAAACTCTGTAGCTTCTGTGGCGAAAGATTATTTGTTAACTCTGCAACGAAAAACACTTCTCCAACACTGGTTCTTTAAGCAGGTATTTCCTCCGATATCCTGCTGTGCTGTGACACCGACAGATCTGCAGGTGTGCTGCAGATTTGTGTAGTGTGGTGAGCACGACGTTTCTGCTGTCAGGGGGCTTGTGCTGGAATACGACTTCTAACTAGCTCAGAACGGCGCCATCTCCTTAGTGCCTTTGAGGAAAGATAATGTAACAGCCTTTTTAGTGTACTCTGCTGGAAAATTTGAAAGTTGTTTTGAAAAATGGTTGTTTATAAAGATGAAAATGCTTATGGTTTTCCTAGGTTAGTTAACTCTCAATCATTTGTGCTTATACAAGGGAACAGCTGTATGGAAAACAGAAAATTCATGTACCCGTTGCTTGAAATGCATTCTGTACTTCCTGTGTGTGTCGGGGGTGGGTCGTGAAGGAAGGAAAAGGGAGCACAGATGTCCCTTGATAATTTTCCTGGTAATATTTCATATTAACATCAGTTTTCAGCCTCTACACACATACTAATAGGTGAAGCAGCAGAATAAAAGGGGTAGCCAGCATAAAATTGAAAATTCCCTTTAAATATACAGAAAATAAGCACACTATTTATCAGTGAGTAGAGAGTTAACTATGTTATGAAAATTCAGGGCCTGATAAGTTCTGCTAAAAGCTGTTCATCACTTGTTTGGAGCACGTACCTATTTATAGACTTTATTGCAGTTAGAGGAGAATATAAACGTGCATGCTGTTAATTGATGTGAACGATATAATTGAAATGCAATAATTTCTAGATGAGCTGACCATGTGTAAATCATAACTGTAGCAAGTGGCCAAGGCACTGAGGATATGTTGCTTAATTCAAAAGTGGACTTTTTACTATTGTATAAAAACTACAGGAAAAGCAAGTCTGTTAATCTTACATTATCGTACATAGAAAATATGGTGCCTTTTAAGAAGCCTCTTTTTTTTTTTAACCTAGTTAATCTCAAAATATCACAGGCCTTCAGAAGCTGTGGTGTCTGGAGGATTACTCTGTTGACAGTGAGTGCTTATGCCGAACTTTGTCATCTGGGAAGGAAACCAAAGAAACAAAAACGTCTCCCTTCTCTAAACGGCCATGTACCTCAGTTCTTCACAGAATTTCCTGTCATGCTCCTTTTCCTTTCTTTCCTGGGTTCCTAAAATGCAATCCTTTTTCCGCATTTCCTTTGTCTGGTTCCTGAATTTGAACACTTCTTTATTTGCAACATTTACAGCAGGTTCAATTTGTAAATGAAATCTCGCCTGAAATAAGTATATCAAGTTTAAAGGGTATGCAGTTCACAGATTTATTTTTACATGTTGACATTTGGTACATGTGGTAACTTTTGAAATCTTTTCAATACTTAATATGAAATTAGAACTTGTTTAGGTCTTTATCTGATCACTGGAGAAGTTGGTTTCAAGTCTAGTTAAAAATAAATTTTGCCTGTTAGACAAGGAAATCAATTTCAAAAGAATGCTTATTTAACAAATGCATATAATTTTTGGGATAAAGACTTTTGAAAAGAAAATATAAAACCATACTAATATTTGTAGCACAATAAAATCTGTTCAGCAAAATCTTTTGATTGCCAGAGTATCCTGTACTTTCAACTGGGAGAAACTTGTTTTATACGTTAGTAGAAACTTGTTTTATTTTTTCTTTAAGAAAAATATGCACAAGTGCTTTTTAGGAGATACTTTTAAAAAAACAGTTCCTTTAAAAAAATTTTATATTTATTTTCATAAGATTGCACTGTGTTTTCTGCTTTACTTTTAGTAATTCAGTTGACAAATGTATTACAACATTAAGTATGAAAGAAAAGTTGATATCTTTCCTTTTTATGAAATCTAATTATTTTTTCTTATGAAATCCAGGTGATATAGTTACAGGAAGCAATGCTCAGGTTTCTGTTCCTGTCCAGACTCTAACTGACCTCCAAGGTACAGTTACTATGGCAACGATGTATATCTCTTTGCCTGCAGTGTTATCATTGCCTATTCCAAAACTCCATTATTCCTTTTGCCCACCCTCCATTCATACTGTTGATCAGTTCACTACCATTGTTCAGCCACTGAGTGGCACTGTTGTTCAGAACAAAAGTCCCTCTCATGTCACTTTGGGGATGCCAAACCTAGCTGTGATGTGGGTTTTCTGTTAAGTTCGAATCAGCCTCTTTCCTTGTGAAATATGGTCACTTTACATGTTGTGGTGGTTTTAACACTGTGTTTTATTGGGCAGCTCACACCCAACTGTTATTTTTGTTGCATAGGAACTCTGTGACAGTAACCGACAACGTAGTTCTGAGAGACCATTTGTATGCATATTATTAAATGTGTCGGGTATTATCCAAAGTCCTTGTTTTATTTTACCTAAAAGAATTACAACCTGATTTTAAAATAAATTTTTAAGTACAGGTTTTGTATTATGAATCATAGCAACAGGAAGTTTGGTATGACAAATCTCCATGCATAACTAGCAATGATTCAAAATAAAAAGGCATTTTAATATCATAATTGTTTGTTGAAAATATAGAAAAAAATTTTAAGAAATAAAAAACAATAGTAATCCATATTTGGCAGTTCCTGTGGAATGTAAAAGCATATAAATATTTAAAGTTGCTGCACTAGTCTCATATTATGTAATCTTTTAGATGAAATATGCTAAAGAGAGGAGTCATATATTAAGTGGAAGCCTAGACTAACGTTAATAATCTCCCATTTAAATTCAAACAGGAAAGATAACAGTATTAAAATTCATATTATGTTTTCCTTAATTTAAAATGTCCACATAATTTAGTCATGCTGGTAGTATTAAAATACTGTTCTAATAATATGCCTTCATGATCTCTGTTCTTCTTGATAAACTAACAGAAAAGAATCCATTGTGATTAGGAAATGAGTGGTGTGTGGCTGACCTCTTTTAAAAAACACTGTTGCGGGTAGAGGGATGTGACCTTACTTCCATATATAGTTCTGTGCTTCCCAAGTATAGTTTCTGGCTGTATTCTGGTAATTGAACCAGCTGACCTTTCAGGGTTTTTTCCGTCCGGAGATTCCACAAGGAGCTGCTGTTTACTCTTCCTGGTGGTGTCTGTTAAGTGACATGAAGGGATACAGCAACATGGAAATAGAAAAGGCAGATAATCTCCAAATGATTTCTCTTTACCCTTGTCAGTTTTTGCACTGAAATAAATATTGATGTGATCATCTGATATGATAGGAATTCATAGGACTTAAATTTGTTTCCTAAAATTAAAATCTGAGGCCCTCCCCCACCCCCACCAACAACTCTTTAACACGTGTTCTGTTGCCCCAAAGTTAGCTGGCTATGGAAAGAGAAAAAAGCGAAGACTGCCTTGCATATTCTGACTTCTGCATCTATGCTATCACGTGCTCAATCCATTTTTCCCCACAGACCAGGGCCACTTGAACAAAGTTGTCTTTTAGATAGCATCTTGAAGGGGGAAGTTCTATCACTTTATTCAAATAACTTATGTAAGTAGAATCATGCCATTCGCTTATTCAGCAAGTATTTATTGAGTGCCTCCTATGTGCCAGGCTCTGTTTTCATTACTCCCTTGCTTTCCCCACAGCTTGACCAGGTGACTTGGGCATCCACCTGTGCTTTACGTGACCCAGGCAAGAATGCCCAGTCAGGAACCAGCTGTTTCTCTGGAGAGCCTGTTCAGAATCCCCCCTGCCTGCCACTTTCTGACAGAGATTCAGTCTGCTGGGGAAGGCTCCAGCCGCTTTATGAGGCCCAGATAAACAGCTTTCAGTCTGGGATGCCCACTACAACCGTGATGAGGAGGCAGTGAGGCGACACCTACCCCAATCTGAAGAAGTCACTTTGTGTTTTCCTCAACACACTGCCTGCAGAGTGTCGGAAAGCAAACAGAAGGAGAAGTAAACCGAAATAGTGGTGGCAGCAAGAAACTTTTTAAAAATCTGTGTTTAATAGGGTTAGTTGCATTAGAAGTTAGAGAACCTCATCAAATGTGCCAAAGCCATTTACAGTCCCCTGTATATTTCAGGAATAGATAAACTTCATTTCATGGAACTAAAACTATCATTTAGACTTTCCCCAGATGTCTTTTTTTTTTTCAAGATATGAAGCAAATATCAATACTTCCCATGATTCTTTGGTTATATATAGTCTTTTTAGAGATTTTGTATCTATAATCCTTTGCCTTTTAACACACAATAATTATATGGTTTTAATTTTTTAAAGAAAAGCACTGAATATAAAGTGATATTTTACAATTTAGGCCAATAAATAATTTTTGGAAAATTTAGAAAGTTCATTTTTTATCTTTCAGGATAAGTTGCAATCATTTACAGTTTACCACAGGAGAATTAGTTTTTTGAAGACAATTCAGTAGGTTTCCTCAAAATTATTTTTGAAAATATATAGCTACCCCAGAAACTTTTCTTCTAGAGATATTTAGGAATTTATTCACAAACCAGGAAGCTTTTTAATAATGGATATACACACACACACATATGGACAAACACATGGGTGTTACTTCCAAGGAGAATTTAGAGTTTCCAACAACAGAAGTGTATAAGTATCATCACATAACAGACCATTAGAAAAGAAATTTCTATTTTGTAAGTTACTACCATAGGCATTTTTAAAATTTATATTTGTGTGTATGTTATTTCTGTTACTGGATATGATTATATATGTATATATGTGGGTACAGACATAGATATCATTATATAGCATTTAAAAATGAAAAAGGAAGGAAAAGGTTAAAAAACAACCTCCCTGCCCAGATAACTACTGTTGGCATTCTTTTTTTTTTTTTTTAAGATTTTATTTATTTACTTTTAGAGAGGGAAGGGTGGGAGAAAGAGAGAGAGAGAGAAACATAAATGTGCGGTTGCTGGAGGCCGTGGCCTGCAACCCAGGCATGTGCCCTGACTGGGAATCAAACCAGTGATGCTTTGGTTCGCAGCCTGTGCTCAATCCACTGAGCTACGCCAGCCAGGGTGGCATTCTTAAGATAAAACTAAAACACATACATCATTAGACAATCCCAATGAATTAAAGGTATTAAAGAGAAAAAAAAATAAGCCTCCCTTTTCTCCTCCCACTTTTTTCTGCCAGCCCATTTCCCTAAGGGTAATTATTGTTAAGTTTCTTATCATTTCTTTCAGGAAAAAAAGTAGGTTTTAAACTGAGGAGTAAAGTGGGAGTCACACTAATGTGATAACAGCTCTCGTGTCTGGAGGTGACTTCCTCTCTGGACCTTCCAGAATAAAGCACTAATAGAAGTGTCCAAGGGCAGATGACATGCTGCAAACTGGTAGACAAAGAAAAGGGAGGTCAAATCAACTACAGCTAGACAGTGTAATGACCAAACAGAAATAGTTTCTGCTCACAAGAGGGAAGATAACTGAAAACCAAAAAATTATCCCCTGTGGATGACCCTGTGTTGATCACTGAGGTTACTGAGAAGTGATAGCCCTGAAGCAGAACAAATAGATCCGTTGTGTTCTGTATAATTACTCTAACAAGGCAGAGAAATATACAATAGGTAAAACAAGTTTGGGGAAGCATCAGCTAGAAAATGCATTTTGGTGGACCACTTATTCCAAAAGATGTTAACTAAACAAGTTGTTTTTGGATTGAGACTAAGATCAGAATTTGCCCTTTATTTCCAAAAGACTTCATTCAATTTTCCTTTCATTTTAGTTTATGTTCACTACTGCCCCACCTGGCATAGCCCTTATTAGGGGAGCAAGGTGCACACCTTTGCCTAGCATGGGCCTGGAGTTGGGCCTGAGTTTGAATCCCGCCTCCATCCCTGCCCTGCTTAGATGACCCAGAAGAGAACAGCTGCTTCAAGGGTCGTTCTCGGAAGTGACCACAATACTGGCCCACAGTAAGGGCCCAAGGGTGCGACCCACTCAGGTGGTGGTGATGCTGTTATAGCCATTATTTGATTTCCTCAAACGCCTTTTGGTCTTCATAATCAAATTGTGAAGGAGCCAACTCAGCATACTCTCTATTTTGTTAATAATAACTTCCGATATCCTGAAACCACGTTTGCAGGCAAGGACTGGATCCAGCAGTGCTTACTGCTGTGGTCAGGCCACAGCACAGCTATTCCAGGAGCTTCTGGTACAGCCTGCTTCCGTTTGCTCTCTGGTGGCACCAAGATGTGTGTTTTTACTGAGCAGACATCAGCCCTCTTGCTGTCTCACTCAAGGCCGAGGTAACAAAATGTTACCAGATGCGCTGATGCCTCCTTTTCTCCTGAGTCGCTCTGTGAAGTCAAGGTGATCGCCTTTCTGTGGCCACTGCACTTGGGCTTCCCAGCCTTTTCCCTTTCCGCTCCTCTGAGCTGTGCCTCCCCACCAATGACCCCCAGATTTCCTAGCACCCTAAACATTTTGCTTTTGGACTTCATCCTATTTTACACTGGTTTTGGTCTCATTTTCAATTACATATGGATGGCAGGAAGCCCTGAAGAATTTAATCAGACTGTGCTTGAGCTAGATGTTCCCAGTAGTCTAACTGCCTTCGTAAATACTGTGTTCTGCACCAAAAATGACCTTCCCTGAGCCACCACCAGCGCCCCACTCTTCAAGTTTTAAGATTTACTGTACACCTCTAATCGCCTGAGACAGAATTAGATCCCCCCTCCGCAGTGCTTCCAGAGTACTGTTGTTTATACTGCTGTTTGCTTCTGTCCCCTGGGACCATAGGCCAGTGTATGTACAAGTCTGTATTTCCCTCCTACTGTTGTTTGGGGAGCTTTTGAAGAGCTCCTGTCGTGTCGCACCCCCATCCTCAGTGCTGGACAGAGTTTCTACAGGCATTTCATAAACTCGTGCCCTGTTTTTGGTTAGGAAGGAAGGACTGTGTGCATGCCTGCTGCAGTTTAAGAACCGGTCTGTATTTAGTGTATTTAAGAACACCTTAGACCATA